TAAGAATGATGTGTTGCTTCGATTTGCAAAACTGGACTTCAACTTACTTCAGATGTTGCACAAACAAGAACTTAGTGAAGTATCAAGGTATGCTAGTAATTTACATGAAAAATAATACTGCTATTATTTGTTTATAGTGACTCAAAATCTGATATATATGTTGTTACTTACTTTGTAGGTGGTGGAAAGATTTGGATTTTGTGACAACACTTCCATATGCTAGGGATAGAGCAGTGGAATGTTACTTTTGGACGATGGGAGTGTATGCTGAACCTCAATACTCTCAGGCTCGTGTCATGCTTGCTAAGACTATAGCAATGATTTCTATAGTAGATGACACATTTGATGCTTATGGCATTGTAAAAGAACTTGAGATCTACACCGATGCCATACAGAGGTATGGACTACTTCTCAAACCATTTTATCATTTATTTGGAAGATCCCATAAAGGTGGGAAAAGAGCATATCAAACAACATATTTGTGTTCAATTTTAATTTTTTGCCTACAATTTATTATCTGAGACAAGCCTAGGAGTCAAACACTAGATATTTCTGCTTCTTCGTATGATATATGTTCTGTTAAATTGATATACTTATCAAATTCATTTCTTTTTCATTTATTAGGTGGGATATTAACCAAATTGATCGGCTCCCTGATTACATGAAAATCAGTTACAAAGCACTTTTAGATCTCTACAATGATTATGAAATGGAGTTGTCCAAGGATGGTAGATCTGATGTTGTTCACTACGCGAAAGAAAGAGTATGAATCGTGACTTTCTCCTTCGTTTTTGATTAAAATGAAATTTGTTCTTCAAATATGGATTGATGGTTGAATGTATTGGCTTGTTGTTGACAGATGAAAGAAATCGTGAGAAACTATTTTGTGGAAGCAAAATGGTTCATTGAAGGATATATGCCGCCAGTCTCTGAGTATCTTAGCAATGCATTAGCTACCAGCACTTATTACTTGCTTACGACTACATCTTATTTGGGCATGAAGTCTGCTAACAAGGAAGATTTTGAATGGTTGGCCAAGAATCCTAAAATTCTTGAGGCTAATGTGACGTTATGCCGAGTCATTGATGACATAGCCACCTATGAGGTTGAGAAGGGTAGAGGTCAGATTGCAACTGGAATTGAATGTTACATGAGAGATTATGGTGTATCCACAGAAGAGGCCATGGAAAAATTCCAAGAAATGGCTGAGACAGCATGGAAGGATGTAAATGAAGGAATCCTTCGACCAACTCCCGTCTCTACAGAGATTCTCACTCGCATTCTCAATCTTGCTCGCATTATCGATGTCACTTATAAGCACAATCAAGATGGATACACTCATCCGGAAAAAGTACTAAAACCTCATATTATTGCGTTGTTGGTGGACTCTATTGAAATTTAAATCATCGATTGTTTTGTACATCTGGGAGCACTTGCTTCCCATCCCCTAAAATTATAAGTATTTGATTGATGCCTTGTTGGTATCTATGCTGCTAGCTAAGATAGGAGTTGCTGGAGATGCATGTTATAGTGCAGTGCAGTTAATTCCTTAATTTTTTTTGTATCATTATTGACATTTTAAATATATATATCACTGCTTTTTATAGCTACTCTTTTTAGCTAGAGATTTCTGAAAGCTTCATAGCTCAAGCTTAAACACCATAGCTAGAAGAGAGGAAGAAGAGAGAGTTGTATTGATTGTATAATGTGACTTGATACAATGTATCCGTACATAGGGTATATTTATACTACAAGTAAATGCAGTAACTAACTCATGCTAACAGTGCATCTTTCTAACTAACTTTTAACTCGTTAGTTAACTAACTCAACCATATAGCTTGCTTAACTATTTACACTAGTTAACACTCTTCCTCAAGCTTATGGTTGAAATACATTTGCCATTCCAAGTCTACTCATTAACAAGTTGTGTTGTTCCTTTCCCAGCCCTTTAGTCAGCAAATTAGCTAGTTGATGTTTGGTGTTGATGTGTTCTATTTTAAGCATTCCTTGATAAATTCTTTCCCTCACAAAGTGACAATCAATATCTATGTGTTTGGTTCTTTCATGGAATATTGGATTGGCAGCTATTTGAATAGCTGCTTTACTGTCACACATCATATGTACAGGTAGATTCATACACTCCCAACTCCTTGTATAGGCCCAACAACCAAGTGATTTCTGCTGCACAAGTGGCCATACTTCTGAACTCTGCCTCAGCTGAACCTCTTGACACTGTTTCTTGCTTCTTGGATTTTCCAAGACACTAAAGCATCTCCAAATTTTACCAAATATCCTATGACTGATCTCCTGGTCTCCACACATGCTCCCCAATCAGAATCACAGTAAGCAGTTAGTTGTGTAGTCTGTTTGGCTGGCATTAATAGTCCTGAACCAGGAACCTCTTTGATGTATCTCACCACTCTTAGAGCAGCCTCCATATGGGACTGTTTAGGTTGGTGCATGAACTGGCTTAACACTTGTACAGTGAAGGCAAAGATCTGGTCTTGTCATAGTGAGGTAGAGTAGTCTTCCTACTAGTCTTTGATACTCTGCAGGATTTTTAAGTAGATCATCACATTTAGCCCCTGTGTTATCTGCATGTTCATCATACTTAACAGAGGTGAGTTTTTGATTCATTTCTAGTGGTGTATAGGCAGGTTTGGCTCCTCCTAGACCAGATTCAGAAATGAGCTCCAAAGCATACTTCTTTTGTGTCATCAGAATACCCCTGCTGGATCGAGAGAAATCAATACCTAGGAAGAATTTGAGTTCTCCGAGATCCTTCATCTTGAATGTACTTTGGATGTCCTTCCTAGTGCTGCATAACTGTTAAGGACTGCTACCAGTGATTAGAAGATCATCCACATATACGAGTACTATAACAATGTCACCATCAGCCTGTTTAGTAAAGAGTGAGTAGTCAAAATGACTTTGTGTGAACCCCATCTGCACCAATGCCTCAGTAAGCTTTAAGTTCCATTGTCTAGGTGCTTGTTTCAGACCATACAAAGACTTGTGTAGTTTACATACCTTCCTGCTCTCCCCTTTGTGGGCAAAACCACTAGGAATTTCCATATAGACCTCTTCATTTAGATCACCATTAAGAAAAGCATTGTGTACATCTATCTGATAAATGTACCAACCTTTAGAAGCAGCCAAAGCAACCACAGACCTCACAGTAACCATCTTGGCTACTGGACTGAAGGTTTCACCATAATCAAGACCCTCCCTCTGACTGAACCCCTTAGCAACAAGTCGTGCTTTGAATCTTTCTAGTTCTCCTGAAGCTAAGAATTTGATCTTATAAATCCACCTGCACCCAATAGGTATTTTACCAGGAGGGAGGTCAACTATACTCCAAGTATTATTAGTTTCTAGAGCTGCAATCTCCAAATCCATAGCTTTTACCCAAGCAGGATTTGCAGCAGCCTCTTGGAAAGATGCAGGCTCAGAAATAAAAGAATAAGCATGCAAAACATGTCTATAAAATGGAGATAAATGAGAGTAAGTGAGATGAGCTGCTAGTGGATATAGACAAGTATTGGTTGTGGGCTTAGTTACAAAGTCCTGCAGCCATAGAGGTGGTCTACTTGGTCTGTCTGATCTTCTTGAAGACACATCAGGAATCAGAGACTGAATAACTGGGACAGGAGATGTTGCAGGAGGTGGTATTGGAATAAGTTGAGAGGATACTTCAGGAATGTCTAGGAGAGACTCAGAAGAAGGGACTACTGACTCAGATGAACACACATCAACAAATGGTACAATATCAAAGATTGGAAATATAGGTTCTGAGGAGGCCTGCATGTTCTTAAAAGGAATAATTCTTCATGAAACACCACATGCCTGTTTACAAAGAAACCATGAGCATGAATGTCATATAAGATATACCCTTTTTGTGTGGATGAATATCCCATGAACACTGCAGGAATAGCCCTGGAAGAGAATTTATCAACTGGTTTAGGGGTAGCAGCATAGCACAGTCACCCAAAAATCTTCAAGTGGGATAAGGATGGGGAATGGTGATAAAGTGTTTCATATGGAGACTTGTAGGAGAGGACTCTAGAAGGAAGCCTATTTAGGATATACACAGCAGTAGAGACACAGTGACCCAGAACTTGAGTGGTATTGAAGCTTGAAACCTAAGTGATCTGGCCATGGCAAGGATTGTTCTATGCTTCCTTTCAGCTACACCATTTTGTTGTGGTGTATAAACACAAGTACTCTGATAGGCAATGCCAAGGTCACTTAATAATGTCTGAACCTCACCACTGAAGAATTCACAGCCATTATCAGTCCTTAGAGTTTTCACAGTGGTGGAGAATACATTCTGAACCTGCCTCAGAAAGTGTTTGAGTACTATTATAGTGTCAGCTTTAGATGCAATTAAAAACATCCAAGTATATCTGCTAAAATCATCCACAATTGTCACAAAAAACCTCTTGCCATTATATGTAGGAACTCTACAAGGTCCCCAAAGATCACAATGCAACAAGTCAAATACATGTTTTGTCATATGAGTGCTTGAAGGAAAATGAAGTTTAGTATGTCTAGCTAGAGGACAAATAGTACATGGAATTTGATCAGTACTCTTTAAAGTCTTGAGACACCCATGCCTCTTTATTACATCAATAGGTGTATGACCAAGTCTTTTGTGCCATATACTACTGGACTCAGACTGAGTAACAGAATTAACAGACTTAGGTAACTGAATATGTTTACTACTATTGACCAGCTTATTTGGAGCTTGACTTGGGCCCTCTTGTAGTATGTATAAGCCATGTTCCTCCTTACCAATCCCCTTCACCAGACCAGTGGAGAGGTACTGGAAAAGACAAAAGTCAGGGGAAAAAACAAACCATACACTGTAACTCTCTTGTGATCTTTGATACTGACAACAAGTTAAACTTGAAGTCAGGGAGAAATAACACATTGGAGATAGACTGATTAGCTAACACACAAGTGCTTCCAATGTGAGAAACTGCTGCAACTTTACCATTAGGTAAATGTACCTTACTGTCTCTTTAAGCATGAACTTCCCTAGCTTTATCTAGGAGGCCAAGGTCAGATGTGATATGATGAGAGGCTCCGGTATCAATTATCCACTGTTTATGGCATAATTACATGATAAAGTATAGGAGCCAAACCTGCATCATCAGTAGTGGCAATGTTTGCAGAAGGCTGAACTGTTGTGTTCTCATCACCATGTCTGGAAAGGAGTTGGAGAATCTGTTGATATTGAGCAGAAGTGAAAAAAGCTCCGGTGTGTGGACCTGCTTCTGAAGTATTTTTTCCTTTGTTGTTGCATCCTATGGTCTCTTGTCCAAGATTAGGAGGAATATCCATCTGATTAGCATACATTCCAGTGTTCAGAGGTTTCCTCTTGGACTTGAAATCTGCAGGATATCCAACTATTTTGTAGCACTGCTCCCTAGAATGTCCCTTGCACCCACAGTGTTCACATTGTAGAAAATTATTTCTATTCTTGTAGCTTCCTCCTGAAGAACTAGTACTGTGGATGTATCCTCCACCATGATCACCAGCTCTTGAGAATGAACTGGTGAAGTGTACTTTTGATGATCCTGCTCCATTGTTGTAAGTGTGATTTCTCTGAGTGTACATTGTTGTGCCTTATATAATTCATGACCCACTCGAACTATTGCTTGCCAGACTTCTCTGACTCTCTTGATCAATCAGCATTGCATAGGCTTTGTTTAGGGAAGGAATTGGACTCATCATTAAGATCTGACTTCTAGGAGGGGAATATGACTCATTTAGCCCCATTAGAAACTGCAGAAGCCTTTGATAGTCACAGTGTTCACCAAAATTTTTGGACTCTGGACATGGACAACTTGGACATGGCATGATAGCATCATACTCATCCCAGAGGTCTCTTAGTTTTGAATGATAGTCAGCAATTGACATTGTACCCTGAGTGAGAGAGTGAATCTCCCTATGTAACTGAAATATTCTGGATCCATTCACAGTGTCAAACCTTTCTCTTAGATCTAGCCACACCTTTCTAGCATCAGAAGCATACACTACAGAACTAAGAAGACCAGGTCTTACTGCATTCATAATCCAGCTTAAAACTACTGCATTACACTTTTCCCACTGATCATGTAGCTCAGGCTCAAACATAGACTTAGGGAATCTTCCATCTACAAATCCTAGTTTACTTCGACCTACTAGACCAATTCGAAATGACCTACCCCACAAGCCATAGTTCTCTGATCTTGTTAATTGCAGAGAGATTAGAGAACTACCTGGAGTTTCTGTATGTTGAAGAAACAGAGAATGATTGTGATCAATGACAGGAAATGTAGTTGTGCTGGTTGTGCGAGAACCACTTCCAGTTCTGGTGGCTTGAATCTCAGCTCCTTCCATTGTACCTCCAGTCATGAGATCCTAAAGTTTTCTTCTTATTCAGCTGTTTTTGGGAAGGTGATATCGAAGTACCTAGGTATTCTCTATGATCGTGGGCTCTGATACCATGAAAGCTTCATAGCTCAAGCTTAAACACCATAGCTAGAAGAGAGGAAGAAGAGAGAGTTGTATTGATTGTATAATGTGACTTGATACAATGTATCTGTACATAGGGTATATTTATACTACAAGTAAATGCAGTAACTAACTCATGCTAACAGTGCATCTTTCTAACTAACTTCTAACTCATTGGTTAACTAACTCAACCATATAGCTTGCTTAACTATTTACACTAGTTAACAATTTCAGATAAAATCGGTGTCACTTCAGCAGATCCTGATTAACCGTGAGGAATGGTGAGTTAATATCAAAATAAGCCAATGATAACACATCAAAATATAAAAGCAAACTCACAAATATAATAAACCTCTTAAAAATAGTACGAAGTATCAATTTCATACAGGAAGTAAAACATTAAAATCGCCATAATCTCAAACACAATTCTACTTATAAGGCAAAATGTGATAATATTCCTGCCATCTTTGAGAAAAAAAATGAAAAGTTCTTTTCTTGAAAATTTCTAATGGCTGCTTTATGATGGAGTAAGGACTAGAGAGTAATAGTAGTATGAGTGGTCATATTACACTGATCTTCAGTGGGTGTTTACACCAGATTATAATGCCTCTCAAACACTGCTGTCTGGCGGACAGTCCTCAACGACTCTTCGTAAGGTCTAGCTGATCGAACTATCAGAAAATCCAGAGTCAGCTAATGATTTTAACATCATCATACATGCAACAATAAACTGTTGCCTTTCATGCTTATAATTACATTGAAACGTAACCGTATATGTTAATAATTTCCATAAAACATAATGTTTACAATTTAATAAGATGAGTGGTTGCTTCCTCTCTAAGATGTTTTCACCTTAAGTACTCACATGTACTGAAAGATTCGTGTAAGCCCAAATTAAAACCGATTGAAGACATCACTATTGAAACTCTTTCTTAATTTTTTACCATTGCCTTTTCTCAAAATCTTAAAGTTTGATTAACTTAATAATTAAGATTTATTTTTATATTTTCGATCTCTATTAAGTGAATTATTAGATATAAAACACTCTCAAGAAAACTACTAAAGAAATTGTGAATATTTTAACCAAATGAAATAGTAAAAAAGACTTATTTATAATGAAATGTTATGAGTAGTAGAAAAGACTCAATTAAAAAATAGATATTAGGAATAGTAGAAAAGACTCAATTTATTATGAGATGTTAGGAGTAGTAGAAAAGACCCAATTTATATATGAGATATTTTTATTTTTTTAAACAAAATTATTGTACTATTTAATTAATTAGATTATGTATAATATTTTGATTTAGTGTAGGAATAAAATGATAGCATTTTAGTGCTTTTCACTTTTAGTATAAAATATGATATGATGATTAACATTTATATATATACTAGTAAAGAAAGCCCGGGCGCTGCTCGGGCCCAACATTAATAAAGTTATATTATTACTCTCTCCGTCCCATATTAGATGAGAATCTTACTAAAAATATTATTTTCATATTATTTGAGCACTTATTAAATTAGGATAAAATTAATTAATTCTTTTCCATTTTACCCCTACAATTAATATGACCATTCCTATATTGTATGTGTATTTTTTGTAACTCATTTCAATGTGCATTGATATAAACAAAGGGCAAAATGGTGAAGTCTTCCAATGTATTAATGATTTCTTAATCACCGTGTAAAGTTGGAAGTGTCCATCTAATATGGGACGGAGGGAGTATAGTTTATGTATTGTTATAAAATCAGTAAAGATTGTTATAATATATTTTGCTCATAAGTGAGCTATTATAGAAACTTATTTGTGATTTGTCTTTTTAATTTCAATTTTAAATAGCAAATAAATGTAGCGATAAGATTGAGGGTAGAAATGAAGCATATCTTTCTAAATTTAAGTAAAAATAAACAGAGTAGAAGTAACATTAGGGTTATCGATAGGACGATTCATTCGGTTATTTTAAAAAAAATTATATCATTCAATTTTTCGGCTATTTTATAATGTATAACCAAAATTAAAATTTTAAAATCATCCCAATCCTAATATATGTGACACAAGCAGTACAAAAATTAGTCTTTTTTTTGTTGTCTTGTAGATATTTTAAGTTATTATTTATTGTAAATTATAGTACTTTTTATTAAAGTTTTTAATAACATATGTTACTTTTTATGTTTGAGAGTTAAACCAACTTTTTTTATATGTCTTTTAATCTTATATGTGTTTTGTCCTTTTCCATTTTCAAAAATTAATACTCTCTCTATTTTATTTTATATGTCATTTCTTTTTATAAATATATTGGTTATTCCCTCTTCTTATTGGAACACATGTTGACTTGTGGTGAATACTTATTCCCTCTTCTTATATAGTAATATATATTAAGATGAGTAATCATATGTACTAAAGCTTCATGTAAGTAGAGGTGGATCGGAGAATTAAATTAATGAATTCAAGCTTTTAAAATTTTCAGTGTCGAAATTATTACACTGTTAAATTATTAGTTCTAATCTAATACCTGATAAGATTTTAATAAGTTATTATAATGAAAGTTACGTCCGTATTTTAGATTTTTGTTAGTAACAATAATATTAGTGTTCTTGCAATAGACAGTTAAGAAATTAAATTAAGATAAGCTTTGATAATATTTACTTTCAGCGTGTGCTTTCTCAAACATGCATGCGGCACTCCACAGTACCAAGGACAGAGAGATAGGAGTGCAAGGGTGTTTATCTTAATATTAAAAATTACAATGAATATATAAACATTATATTTTGAATCTCACTTTAATTAAAAAAATATTTTAAATTTCTTTAATGAAAATCTTGACTCTTTTCACAGTACACTCTAAAAAGGATGGTTGTTTGGTACGCGGGATAATGTGGGATATTTAAATTTGGGATTAAATTAATTTATATTGTATTTAGTTGACGTTATAAATTTATCCCTGAATATCAGACCCTTACCCAATCAAACTTATAATTATTTTATGGATAAACTAGTACATGAATTATAATTGCGAAATAACTTGGTCCGTGTACTAATCGAATAGCAAGTTCATCAAAGTAGACCCTGCTACTCCAATGCATAGGTATGTAAAGAAGACAAAGTAAAACATTGTTTTATGAAGTAAAAAAATCCGGAGGAAGACGAAATGCACTGTAAGGAAAAATAAATGACACATCACACAAGGAATATAAAATTAGTAGAAAAGGCATACATTATAAATAGTAGTAGTTGTCTTAGATAGCAAATATATTACATATAGTCAAGTAAGTATCATGAGGAAAAAAATAGTCAAGGATGACAGCATTAAAAGGCATGGTGTTTACAAGAATTTAAATAAAAGTAGTAACAAATTGTAGGCTGCAAGTTTTACCAAAAAAAGAGAAAAAATGTGTTGCCATATTAGATATGTCTTTAGACTAGATAGGAGGAGTATTGTCAAGTGTGGCAACCGCTACTATAGTATAGTATTATAAAGGATTTTAATCGTACGTGAAAGATGGCTGTCTCACAATTCATTCGTTATAAATACTCATTTCTTCCTCTTACAATTCCATCATCACTTGTTCAGTTCTCTACTACAAATACATTATACAAAGAAAGGAAATTCTCTCTGTTTTTCCACAAGCAAAGAGTATACTATAAATGGCCTCAGCTGCTGCAGTAATGAATAACTACGGAGAGGAGGACATTGTTCGACCTGTTGCTGACTTCTCTCCAAGTCTTTGGGGTGATCGTTTCCATTCGTTCTCCCTCGACAATCAGGTATCTATTTATTTTGTACAAGTCTTTCATTTTCTTTATCTTGTTGGATGAATACGGACATTCATTTCTGACTTTGAATGTAATGTAACATACATTTTAATTTCTTTTTAAATATATTTGCAGATTGCTGGAAAATATGCTCAAGAGATCGATACTTTGAAGGAACAATCAAGGCTTATATTATCTGCATCTTATATAAGAACATTGGCTGAGAAATTGGATCTGATAGACATTGTTGAGCGCCTTGGTATTGCTTATCATTTTGAGAAACAAATAGACGATATGTTGGATCAAATTTACAAAGCAGATCCTAATTTTGAGGCTCATGAATACAATGATTTACAAACTTTATCCGTTCAATTTCGACTATTGAGACAACATGGTTACAATATCTCCCCAAGTAGGTCTATTATACACATGTTTTTCGTTTATTGTTATATTTATGTTTCTAGCTTAAACCAAGGAATTTTTTATTATCTTTTTCACTTTTACTTACTAAAAGTTAATCTTTTATTTTTGTTCATGATCCAGAACTTTTTAGCAGATTCCAAGATGCAAAAGGCAAATTTAACGAATCTCTTAGTAACGACATCAAGGGTCTTTTGAACTTATACGAAGCCTCACATGTAAGGACTCATGGAGAAGATATTTTGGAAGAGGCACTTGCTTTCTCTACTGCTCATCTTGAATCTGCAGCTCCACATTTGAAGTCACCTCTGAGTAAGCAAGTCACACATGCCCTTGAGCAATCTCTCCATAAGAGCATTCCAAGAGTTGAGACACGATACTTCATCTCTATCTACGAAGAGGAGGAACAGAAGAATGATGTGCTGCTTCGATTTGCCAAACTGGACTTCAACTTACTTCAAATGTTGCACAAACAAGAACTAAGCGAAGTATCAAGGTACACTAATAATTTACATTAACAATATAAATTACTTGTTACTCGATAATAATTTCTCAAATCAATTCTAAATTTTTAAGATTGATTCTTATTTTATAGGTGGTGGAAAGATTTGGATTTTGTGACAACACTTTCATATGCTAGGGATAGAGCAGTGGAATGTTACTTTTGGACGATGGGGGTGTATGCTGAACCTCAATACTCTCAGGCTCGTGTCATGCTTGCTAAGACTATAGCAATGATTTCTATAGTAGATGACACATTCGATGCTTATGGCATTGTAAAAGAACTTGAGATCTACACCGATGCCATACAGAGGTATGGACTACTTCTCAAACCATTTTATCATTTAATTGGAAGACCCCATAAAGGCGGGAAAAGACCATATCAAACAACATATTTGTGTTCAATTTCATATATTCCC